ATCAACAGTAGGCTATAAGTAAATTTTAGGGGAAGTCAAAAGTTATATTCGGATTTTTTACTGGGAAGGTTCCATCTCCTAACCTCTGCATTGTTCAGGGGTCAATTGTGCATTGTATGTGTGTACAAAGAAATACATACAAAGAAAACAATAATCTCATCACACTTTTGGATATAGATGCAAAAAATCAATGAATAAATATGAGGAAGTCAAAATTAGCAGTATATTAAAAGACAACCATAGTCAAATAGGTTTCTACTCAAGAAATGAAGAGATAATCAGTCAATAGGAAATTATTAATGTGATGTATTATAGTAAAAGGTAAAATAATAAAGATTTTTATTAGTATTTTGATAGGATACTGAAAACTCAACATCCATTCTTAATTTTAAAAATTACTTCTGGTGATTTGAAGCCAGGTGCAGTGGCTCATACCTATAATCCCAGCACTTGGGAGGCTGAGGCAGGAGAATCCCTTGAGCCCAGGAGTTTGAGACTAGCCTGGACAGCAAGGCAAGACTTTATCTCTACAAGATTTTTTTTAAAAATTAGCCAGATGTGGTGGCACATGCCTATAGTCCCAGCTACTGGAGAGGCTGAGGTGGAAGGATTGCCTGAGCTCAGGAGGTTGAGGCCGCAGAGAGTTGTGATTGTGCTACTTGGACTCCAGCCTGGGCAACAGAGTGAGACTCTGTCTCAAAAAAAAAAAAAAAAATTACTTCTGATGATTTGAAATTGAAGGAAATTTATTTCACCTTATAAAGGTTAATTATCAGAAATCAACAAGTGACATAGTGACATAGTGTAGAACTAGAAATAGTCACATTAATATCAGAAACAGGACAAGCAAGTCAGCTATGCTAGACCATAATGATACTAGCCAACATTGTTCTGGAGGTCTTGCCAATGCAATAACAAAAGAAAAAGAAATAAGATATACATTCTAGAAAAGAACAATCACAGTCATTATATTGAATGCTCCCAATACAAAAAAATGACAAATGTCTGAAATAATGAACATGCTAATTACCCTGATCTGATCACAATACATTCTAAGCATTGAAACACCATTATGTATTTCATGAATATGTACAATTATAAGGCATCAATAAAAATAAAATTTGTCAAAAGGAGAAATTAGCAAAAAGAGAATTTTAAAATTTACATACTGGTGGTCTTCAACTTATGATGATGGTTTGACTAACGATTTTTCAACCTTATGATGGTGAGAAAGTGATTCATATTCAGTAGAAACTGTACTTCAAGTATTCATGCAACCATTCTGTTTTTCACCTTCAGTACAGTATTCAATAAATTACTTGAGATATTCAATACTTCATTATGAAATAGGCTTTATGTTAGATTATTTTGCCCAACTGCAGGCTAATATAAGTGTTCTGAGCATGTTGAAAACATGTTAAGCTAAGCTATGATGTTTGGTAGATTTGGCTAAGCTAAGAAATGAGTGTTTGAATTATGATATTTTCAACTTACAATGAGTTTATTAGGATGCACCTCTCTACTAAGTCAGAAACAGTTGTACTTTTGACTAAATAAATAAAGGAACAATTTTTTTTAGTTGGACTCACTGTGTTGCCCAGGCTGGAGTGCTGTGGCATGATCAGGGCTCACTGCAACCTCAGATTCCTGGGTTCAAACGATCCTCCTTCCTCAGCTTCCTGATTAGTTGGGACTACAGGCACACATCACCACACCCTGCTCATTTTTTTTTTTTTACTTTTTTGTATTGCTAAGTTACCTACACTGATCTTGAACTGGGCTCAAGCAATCCTCCCGCCTTGGCCTCCCAAAGTGCTGGGATTACAGGCATGAGCCACTGCACCTGGCCTGCAATAAACATATATTTTTTAATTCTAGAAAAGAACAATCAGTTATCATTATGTGCAAATAATTTTGAAATTCAATGTAATTAACTACTAAAAAACTAGTGAAAGTTCTTATGTATATATTCAATACAGTAGCTACATACAAGATAAAGACACAAAAGTAATAGCTTTTCTTAATATCATAAACTTACAGAATATGAAGAATTTCTAGAAAGAAGTAGATTCAATGCATACGTTCAGTCCTGTTTCCTCCCGAAACACATTGTAACAACAGTAAAGGAATAAAAATAAGAAAAACTCATAATGACAAAGAGGATGGAAGTAAATAAACAGCAGACAAGAAATATCAACAAATTTGGAAGCTAGCTGTGGGTGAATGGGTGGTAACTAACTCAGTGGAACTAAGAAAATGGAACTCTAGCTGGCAGTAGTTGGGGGAACATATAAAAATCAGAACGCTCCATGCTGGAGAACTCTGGTAAGCTCAGAACTCAGAGGCACTCACTTCCTCTAAAGGCAGGGGCAAGACAAACTGAAAACAGAACAGGTGGAGTATTATGAAAAGCATTTAGAGCGTGCCCAACCCTTCCTCTTCCCCCTGTAACCAGGCAATACCCTATAGCTGCCTACACTGCAGAAGGGCAGTTTATGTCCAGAGAGGCCTATGAAAGCAGAATGAAAGCAGCCAGAATGAAAGCAGGGGCATTCACAGCCATCTCTATACCCAGCCCCTGCTTCCCTTTCCCCCTTTCCCAGCAGCCTGTAGAATGCTGGCATCTGAGTCTATTTCCCAGGCAAAAGACTGAAGAATTTCGTTCCGAGGGACCCTCCGACTATCAGATTAACTGAGATTAAAAATGCAGGGATGCAATAAGGAAAGATCCAGCTAGCCATAGTGCCCTTCAGTGAAATTCACTCCTATCCCACAAGCACAGACCTAAAAATTTTTGGAAATGTTAAGGGGGCATTTACCCTGCTAGATAGCAAAACATATTTTAACACTACAATAATTAAAACATAGTGGTTTCAGTAAAAGAAAACAGAGCTCATTGGAACATGATCAAGAGTTCAGAAATGAACTCATGAATTTAGTTTTTGAAAAAGTTGGCTTCTCAAATGAGTAAAAAAGAATGGGTTATAATTTAGTGATATTTGAAAGGAAGTAGATGCCTACCTCACAATATTCTCAAAAATAAATTCCAAATGTATTGATAATGTAAAAAATAAAATTATAAAAGTACTAGAAGAAATATACCAAAATATTATTTCAATTCCAGGACAGAGGAGGCATTTCTAAAATTGAAGCCATAAAGAAAAAGTCTACTATATCTGAACACAAATGAGTTAAAGTCCTGTTTAGCCAAAGGTATCATAAAAGATAGACTAGATTTTCATTCTGGCCATGATGGAGAAATTGAACCCTTCCTTTTGCTCTAAGCAACTAGACAACTGGATAATACATATGGAGCAATTGTATTCAGACGTTGGACAGAGCAAAACTGTGATCTGAATTCCTGAGATAAGGAAGCAGATCAGGTGAGCCCTGGGTTTCTTCCTGGAGGCTCTTTCCAGACCACAGTGCAGGAAGGAGAGTCCCAAACAAGACATGACAGTATCACTAAGTAGAGGAGAGAAAGAAGGGAGTCTGGGGAGAGCTAGAATATGGGGACAGAGTATGAAGAGGAAGAAGCTCTGAAGAGAAAGAACTCCAGAAACCTGTGCAGGATTCCCTGTGCCAACACAGGATGGGCATCCACAAATCCTGGCAAAGAACCACTCTAGAAATTCTCAGTCTAAATTGAGCTGGCAGAAAGCTAAAGCCCTAAAAGGATGAAAAGTCTGAAGACAAGATGAGGCCAGTCCACAGGATAAGAAAGAGAAATAGGTCTCTGGAGTAGTTGAAAGTGTCAGAAAAATCCAGCTTCAGCCCCATCTGTGCCCAATCTGCACCCAAAGGAAACCCAGGGCACAACTAGGGTGGCTAGGACTCCTAGGATTTTGTATACCTATGAAGTCTCTGTAGCTTTGTTAAACCTCTACTTTTTTCAACAAACTAGCTAAACATTACTAGATATAAAGGCCTTAAATAATGTGTGCTTGTTTCAGGACAGAAGGGACATAAGGAGAACCAATCCAGGGAGAAGAGAGTGGTGGCTTTCACAGGAACAAGCAAGCACAAAGCTTTCATTCATTCAACGAGTATTTATTGAGGACCTGCTGCCTGAGAAGCCTGTGCTGGATACTGAGGGGATACAGAGGCACTGCAAGCCTCTATCTTGAGGAGCGGTTGATTCCACAGAGTCCCATAAGGTAAGAATGCTTGGAAGGGCTAAACAAAAGTCAAGGCAGGAAGTGCAAAAGGCCAATGGAATGCCTCAGAAAAGAAGGAGCATTCAGAGGTTCATAAGGTATCATGGAAGAGGAGGGTCAGTGCTGGTAGCAGGGAGTGGCTCCTTAGGCCACATCCTGGTCCAAGGGCCTCTTGCAGACCCAGTGATAGGTGGCAGTGCAACTGATGTCATTCCACTTCTGCAGAATATGGACACAGTCTTCAGTCTGCCCATTCCCGTGCCGCCAGTTGTCCGGCTGATTCTTGCCCCAAAACCTGGAGACAACAAGGCTTCGTTCTGTTAAATGGATGAAGTGTTCCTTCCTTCCGCTGTGGCATAAGTGACATGGGTCCCTCATCCCCTAGAGACCCCAGGATGGTAACAGGACTGGGGAAAGAGATATCCTGAGGGTGTCTCTGCTGAGGTTGCCCTTAGTCACTGAGCATCCAGGGACAGGGAGGGGTTTCCATGAAACTGCAAACCCCCATTCCAAAATTCACACAAAGACACCTTCCAGGGGGTAGGGTCTCTTGGGACCAGACCTGAATAGTGTAAGGAAAAAAACCACCAGGAAGACCCACTGACAGGCTGTATGCCAGTCCTAGGATCTGTCCTTCCTGGTGCCCCTCTGTGGAAGAGTCCAAGGGAAACTATGCCTATGCCTGTGTGTCTACACATACACACACACACACACACACACACACACACACACCCCACACATGTATACACACAACACTAACACTTACTGAGTAGGGGACACATAAGAGTCTCTAGCTAGGTCTGCCAAAGATAGTACCTGGACAGCACCAGATAGTGGCTGGACTCACCTTTTGCTCCGGGCATTATCGAATGGTGTCCCATCTGTCCAGCGCCAGGAGCCCTCTGTGCCCCTGTCAGTGAGGCCGATCCAGTGGTAAAATTGACTTGTGAACTGTGTCAGAAATGTCTGGAGAGAAAAGGAGGTGTTTTTGACCCCATGTGTGAAATCCGGCATGTAGGCTGCCCCTCCTGGTCCTAGGAGGGTGGAGTCTGCTTGTCTGCAGGAGCTGGGCCCCTCACTGCACTTTCCACAGTTTGTCCAGGACTTACCACAGCTGCTAGATCCCCAAAAAGAAAGTCCAGATTCTCCCATGTTGACTGTCCCTAGATAGTCCCAGCCTTGGATAAGGGGGTGTGGTTTTACTGGGACAAAAACATACCTGGCCATAGCTTATTAAGAAGGTGTGTTTTTGGTACAGTGGCTCACGCCTGTAATCCCAGCACCTTGGCAGACCTAGGCAACAGGATTGTTTAAGCCCAGGAGTTCAAGACAAACTTGGGTAACATAGTGAGACCTCATCTCTACAAAATTTTTTTTAAAAATTAGCCAGGTATGGTGGCATGTGCCTGTAGTCCCAGCTACTTGAGAGGCTGAGGTAGGAGAGTCATTTGAACCCAGGAGTTGGAAGCTGCAGTGAGCCATGATTATACCACTGCACTCTAGCTTGGGCAACAGAGTGAGACCTTGACTCAAAAAGAAGAAGGAAGAAGGGAGGGGAGGGGGAGAGGGAGAGGGAGAGGAAAAAGGAGAAAGAGAAGAAGGAAAAAAGAAGATGTGCTTTACAAAGTATCATGTCCTTTGTCAGACCTGTGGCAACAGTCTAAGGAGAGCCACAAAGAGTGGGCAGTTCTGCAAGTCAAACTGGACCACAAGCCTATTGTGGTCCTTTGATGATAACCCTGACATGTTCTGATAAGGACCTTTGACAGGTGAGCCACCCGGGACTGTGTTGCCTTTGATGGTCCTCAGATCCATAGGCATGTGTCTAGTCTTCCAAAAAAGTCTGGGTTCCCTACTCAGGGACCTTCCACAGCAATCAAGTTAGCTGACATTAAAATCAAAACAACCAGAAAAGAAGCCTGGAAGGAAAAACTAGGGCATGCGAGGGAAGCATGCTCCCAACACTTAGGCGCAGTCACCTGGTGCCACCTGTCTTTGGCCTTCATACCTGCTGACATCTGATGACCACCTCTGGGTGTCTCTCTCATTCCCTGAGGACATGGAGGTTTACTGTTGGGAGATCTAACTCCAGTGCAATGTGCTCATCGGAACTCAATAAATATTTGCTCCCTGCCTGGCAGAGGAGATGTGAAGGTCTCTGCCACATCCACTGAGAGGCAGAAGGCCAATCCACCAAGGTCCCTCCTCACACCAACTCCATCAGCACCACCCACGCCCACAGCTCTGACCTGTTCCTCCTCAGAGGTCACCGATGTCAGGTGGGCTCCCTGGGACACACAGAACTGCTCAGCCTCGTGCCAAGACTTCTTGACAAGAGAAAAGTAGTACAAGCTTCCACTGTTGACCTTCCAGCCTTGCAGGATCAGCCGGAGAAGATGATCTGGAGCGAAGGTTGAAGGGGAGAGAGAACCAGGAGTTGCTGGTGGAGGTCCCATAGCTGACCCTTCCAGCCTGTCCAGGGGCCGCCCACAAGGGTGCACAAACCCACGCAATGCTTGATGCCCAGTGCTGCAGGAGCAAGGCCTGGGAGACTGCACCACCCTCCCATTACCTAGTACTCCAGGAAGTAGCCCTCAAGACACAATGCTCAGTACTCCCAGGAGACTCAGATAGCTCTGCTTAGCAACTACTCTCTCTTCCCAGATACCTGCTTCCTGGCTGTCCTGCCCTCTCCTCCATTGCTATTACCTGTGTCCTCTCCACTCTGTTCCCGCCATCTTCCCAAGAGATTTCACAGCCATCCCATAGGCTCACTCATTTTCTTGACTTTGTCTCCATCTACTTCAGCCACCACTCCTAGAGCCAACCCAGGACCTTGGCATCACGTGGTCTGCCTGGCCCCACAGTTTCTAAAGTCTAATACCTCATCCTGTGAGCATAAGCCCCAATTCTATCAGCTCTTTCATCTCTCCCTACTATGACACCCTACTCTTTGACATTTTCTATACTACAGCTCTTTGAAATGACACACAGGCTTACTTAGGCATCCATTTGTTCTTTTGTTCAACTTTCATTGTTCAATGTTCGCTAACTTCTATGAGTAAGGGACTGTTATACCATTCAAAGATCAACCAGACATGATTTATGTCCCCAAGGAATGTAGAGTTTAATAGATGAGACAGATGAGAAAAAGGTGTTGAGGATGCATTGATCAAAGACCATGTTAGAAGAGAGGCCCAAAGGAGGGTGTGGGCTATTTCACCTGAGCAGGAGGTGGGGCTCAGGAAGGACTTCCTGGGTAAAATCTCACTCAAGCGAGGTCTTAAGAAGCTAAGGAAGAGTTTGCCAGGTAGTCGGTGTGAAGGAGAGTGTACCAGGCAGGTGAAAGGGTCAGCACAAAGGCACAAGGGCATGACACAGCCTGATCTTTTCAAGCGACTTGGTGTGGGGCCTAAGGGTTGGGTGATGAACTTAAACAGGTTCACCATCACTGAATGGCACATCCCATGTGAAAGAGTTTGGATTTCTCTTCCCTGTGAGCAACGGGACACACTAAAAGGTTTGGAGAAGGATGGTATTAATATCATGCTCAGATTTGCTCTGTAAAACATCCAACCTGGTGGAGACTGAACTGGAAGAAGGCACTCCTCATCAGGCCAGAAACACCAGTCATAGCACACACAGGAGTGAAAGTCTCAGTAAGAGATGGTGAGCGTGTGAACCAGGGATTCTCAAAGTGCGGTCCTAGCCCATCATCATCACCTGGGAACTTAGTCGAAATGCACATTCTCAGGCCCACCCCAGCCCTGCTGAAACTGAAATTGCGTTTTAACAATTTGTTTCAGCAAGCCCTCCAGGTGATTTTTTGGGTCTGAAAACCAGTAGGCTAAGCCAAGGATTGGCAAACTATAGCCAGCCGGCAGCCCCTTTTTACAAAGTTTTACTGGAACACAGCCACACTCAAGAGCTTACAAATCTCTCTTCTTCCACCCCAGATGATTCTTTCTCCTTTCTTTTTGCTCCTCTCTCACCCCAGCTTCCAGTACCTACTTCTAACTTATCACCTCTTACACCTACCTGCATGTAAGCCTGTAAGCTTCTCAAGGGCAGATGCCATGTCTTATTCATTTATGCACCCGGATACATAATAGAGCCTCAGTGAAATGTCAGATAAGTGCATGAATGCTAGGGATTTTGTTCAAAGCTTTACATGTGTTAACTCATTTGATCCCTACTGGGAAGCAAATATTATTGACCCCATTTTGCAGGTTATTAAGTGAGGTTCAGAGGTGAGTAACTTGCTCAAGATAACACCACTGGTGAAAGCAGAAAGTTAGAAATAGGGCTGTTTGACCCCGCTCATCTAAACTGTACTTATCATACACCCCCACTATTTATAGTTGGTTTCCCAAGTGATCATTTGGGAGTGAGTTGCTTATCACTCTGGTCAGGTGGTAAGCAACTCAAGAGCAGGGACTTACCTTCCATCTCCTCCACTGCCTGGGCTCCTTAAGCCTTTTTCCAGGGAGATGCATGTTGAGGTAAGCAAAGAGGCTGAAGAGACAGGAGACTACCTTCTCAAGAGACTGTGCCCTTCCCAGCAGGACTCCTCCTCCCCACTTACTCTGGGTTCTTTGCAATTGCTCCTGTGAAGCAATGGTCTCATGGAGGGTCTTCAGGCGACTCTGCTCCTCCTGGATCTTTGCAGTCAGACTTCTGATGTTCTCTAAATCCTTTGTTAAGCTTTGGATTTGGGCACGGGCCTTCTGCAGATTGCTCTCTAACAGCTGGGTCTGAGAACTTAAGGCCTCCGCCTTCTTTATTCCTTGTTTTAGAGTCTTTATCTCTCTGCTGACATTTTTCAAATGACCATCTAACACCTGAATCTGGGAGTTTAAGGCATTGGCATTTTCCATCTCTGCGATGAATACTTGGATCTGAGCATCTGTCTGGTCCAGACGGCCATTTGCAAGTTGGGTCTTGGCGGTGACAGTTTCCAAATCTCTTTTTAACAAATGAATCTCATCCCCAGCCCTTTGCAAATGACCTCTTAATAACTGGATCTCAGCACTGATGTTGTCTAAACTGCCTTTTATCAAGGTCTGGGTCTGGGAGTTTAAAGCTTTTGCTTCTTGCAGACTTCCCTTAAGCCCCTGGATCTCAGCACTGGCTCCTTCCAAACTATGTCTTAAAACCTGGTTCTGGGTCCTTAAGTCAATGACACTATCCAGATGGCCTCTCAAAACATGGATCTCAGCATTAGTATTCTCTAAGCTACTATTTGCTAAGCAAGCCTGAGCATTAGCCACTTCCAAATCTGTCTGCAACATCTGAATTTTAGAGTTGGCATTTTCTAAGCCTCTGCTTAACACGTGGAGCTCAATGCTGGTGTTTTCAGAACTGCTTTTCAAGAAACTCTGGGTCTGGGAAGTCAAAGTGTTTGCCTCTTCCAGGCCTCCCTTGAGCCTCTGGATCTCAGCACTGGCCCCCTCCAAGGAACTCCTTAACATCTGGGTCTGCAAACTCAAGGCAGTGACGTCATTTAGAACGCCTTTTACCACCTGGATGTCAGCATTGACATTGCCAAGGTGACCCCCGAACACCTGGAGCTGAGAACTGACGTTGTCCACTCTGCACTTCAACATATGCCCGGTGCTGGAATTTTCCATGCAACTCATCAACATCTGGATAACCTCTTGCACCTTTGCCTCCCTGCCAAAGTTGTGGTATTCTGGAGGGAGGAAGAGGAGAAGGCAGACAAAGAGGCCCATGACATGGGGAAGTATCAGGTGGGCCAACCAGAGTGTGCTTAAGACTTCGGAGGGAACTGCCTACCGCACAGTACAGCCATGAGTGCTCCCCAACACAAAATGCTGGTTACTGCAGCCACCCAGACCCGGGGGATGGGCCACCTGGGAGTGTGGGCCAAGAAGCAAAATAAGTGAAAGGCTACTTTCCTGCCACACATGAATGAAGGGGCCGGAAGGATGGAAAGATTTGCCTACTGTAAGCCAGCTGCCACCAAGAGTCATGTTGGTAAGACGTGGATTATTTTGTCATTATAATTGCTCGACTTGAAAGTAACTGATTATATCACTTAAAGTTGCTGAAATTCAATTCCACTGGCATTTCACCATAGGTGGATCATTATGAAAAAGAAAATAGGTATGAATAAAGCCCATAAATGAAATCCTACAGCATATTTGTACACCAAGCATGACGTCTCTTGATTCATCATTGTTACTTCCTTAAGACCACCACAAAAATAAATTTTATGATCACATAAAATTCCAGAGGCAAGGGGGACAGAAGCAAAACAAAATAGGTGCTCCAGGAGGGAGGACCCTGTTCAAGACACAGGGCTATGGAACAGGCATGTTATGCCCTCCAGGTGACAATGGATCTCAGCTAAAATGGCCTTTTAAAGGGCCAGGATCCCCAGTGTTACATAGGGTAAGGTCCCTACAGAACAGCATGAGGATATGGGAGACCTGAGTGAGAAGTCTTGCAATGGTCATTCAAGGAGACTCCGCGCCCCTTTAGTCTGCCAGGTCTTTCCTACCAACCCCACTTGCGTCTATGTCTGGTCCTGCCAGCATCCTTTGCTCGCCTCATGAACTAGGATCTAATCTCAGACATCTGTGGTCACTTCTTCATTCCAGCCTCTCTCCAGGATTAGGGAGAAAATCTCACATAGGCAGAGACCCTTTCTGGAGTGTCTGGGCACTCTTCCTCACACTCTGCCTGGGTGAGTGTGGGAAGCTTTAACCACTGTGTAGAGGTAAGGACAGGTGGCCTTTGAAGGTGTGGGAAGTCTGCTTTGTAAAGATAGACAAATAGATCAACGCCACAGAATGGAGAATCCAGATGTAGGGACACATATACAGAGACAATTGATTTTCAACAAAGATGCAAAGGCAATTCACGGGGAAAGGATCATCTATTAAACAACTAGGCCGGGTGTGGTGTCTCACACCTATAATCCTAGCACTTTGAGAGGCTGAGGTGAGAAGATTGTCTGAGTCCACGAGTATGAGACCAGCCTGGGCAATTTGTTGAGACCTCATCTCTACAATAAATCAAAAAATTAGCTGGGCGTGGTGGCACGTGCCTATAGTTCCAGCTACTTGAAAGGCTGAAGTAGAAGGATTGCCTAAGCCCAGCAGGTAGAGGCTGCAGTGGCTGTGAGCATGCCACTGCACTCCATCCAGCCTGGGTGACAGAGTGAGACTCCGACTCAAAAACAAAACACCAAAACTGGTGCTGGAACAATTGTATATCCATATGTAAAAAATAATTTAACAAGGGCTTCAATCCATACCTCACAACATTATACAACAACTAACTCAAATGAGGTCAAGAACTAAATGTAAAACCCAAAACTATACAATTTCCAGAAGAAAACAAAGGAAAACATCTTTGTGGCCTTGATTAGACAAAAATGTCCCAGATAAGAGACCAAAAGAATGATCCATAATAGAAAAAATAATAATAAATTAGGCTTCATCAAATTAAAATCTTGTTAAGAGAATGACAAATCACAGACTGAATGAAAATATTTGCAAATCACACAGTTGATTAAAAAACAAAGTGCATATTATATGATCTCTTTTATACAAAATCCTAGAAAAAGCAAATACTCTGTAGTTACACCAAGTAGATCAGTGGGTGCCTGGGGGTGAAGGAAGGGAGAGTGAGGGATTATGAAAAGCCACAAGGAAACTTTAGGGCAAGATGTTTGCTATCTCGATTGTGATGATGGTTCCACTGGTACATACATACGTCAAAATTTAGATTACATAATTTAAATATGTGCACTATCTTTTGTGTCTGTTACACCTCAATAAAGCTGTTTTTCTTTTTAAAAAAAAAGTTTCTTCCTTTCTATGAGGAGAGTGGAACCCATTCAGGGGCCTGGGATTTTGGAGAAGCCCATTCTAGGGTCTGAGCAACTGAAGGCCCCAGCTCCCTCCCCGAGTTCCACCCCTACTGTGGCTTCCCACCTAATGTTGACTCCCAGAGACTCTTCCAAGAAAGAATATTCCTCCCCCACATGTCTCGAGTACCATAGAGCTGAGAGACCCCATTCCCAGGTCAGCACAACCCTAACCCTGAGCCCGGGAGTGGGGGGCAGGCTGCCCCACACCCAGGTAGAGTTCTGAAAAGAAGAAGATGGCTCCAAGGGCACTCTCAGAGTTTCCCTCATGTGCCTCGTGTCTTAGGAGGCTCCCCTATGGACAGTGACCTCTGTCTGGCCCCAGGAAAGCTGTGGCTTGGGCCTGGGGCTGGAGGTGGAACGACCCTGCTGGGAGCAGAGAGGCCCAGAGAGTGTGTCCAGGGCCCTTGGGGAGAGAAGAAGAAGGAGACTGAGTCTGTGGGATTCGAGTCACCTGGGAGCTTACCCACAACAAAGAAAGCCACAAGAGAGGAGACCACGATCACAGCCATAAATGCCAGGGCAGCCTGAACAGGCCTGGACATCTTGGGCGTTGCAGGAGCCACTGCCGCAGAGTCCACCCCTGCAGGGAAGAAGCCAGTGTCCAGCTGGGAGGGTGCTGTGCAGACTGAGACAGAGTCTGCCTCTCTGACTCAGTCCCCTGTTTGTCCAGTGGGCATGAGAACACCTGCCATGCTTATCATACAGGTGGTTAAGGAGGGAAGTGAAGCACTTTGAGCTCTTCAACAGAGCTTATTGTGAGTACAGTAGCAGCACAAAGATGAGGACAGTTGAGACCAAGGTTCTCAGAATCTCAAGGAGGCTTCAGTGGTGCACAGGGCACAGAAGCTGGCACAGGGTGGAGGGCAACAAAAGTGTGGTTTGAATGGAGGAAGAAAGACAGGGAGAGCAGGAGGAAGGGAGGGAGGGAAGAAGGGATGGAGAGAGGGAGGGATGGAGGGAGAGAAGGAAAGGAAGAAGGGAGGGAGGGAGGGAGGGGAGAAGAGAAAGAGGGAGGAAGGGAGGGAAGTAGAAAAGAAGGGAGGGAGAGAAACAGGGAGGGAAGAAGGGAGGGAGAGAGCAGGAACCTGAACTTCAGAGTCCCAGTTCACAGAGTCTTGCTTACGAGTCCTGACCAGGGCAAGAGACTCAGCCCTTTGGGGTGGCACTGCTGCCTCCCCCACAAAGTGACATGGGTCAGTCCTGGAGCTTCCCTCTACTAGGCTCACAATGTCTCCCCAGGGGTGTTCTGAGAAAAGTTATGCTTGAGCGTTCTGGGGGCTGTGGTTGGGGACAAATAGTACACAGGAAGATTGACTGAAAGGTCGAGAAAGACCAGCCCAGAGGTCCAGAAGCCTCACAGGATCAGCCCAGTATGTGAGCTGGAGTCAAAACCAACGGAATTCAAAGTCCATCCCCTTTCTCTAGCCAGGTCACCATCCCCAAGGAAAAAGGTCTGGGGAGACTTCATGGGGACACTGGGGAGTATGTCTAGGGTCCCTGTCCTCTGCCTGACTCACCTTCTGCCCTTACCTGTTTATTCTGGAGGCCAAGATAGTAATAAGCTGAGCTCTGGCCTGCCAAGGAGGGTCTCAAAGAAAGGCAGAGGGCTGGAGCACTGGCAGACTAATCTTTGATTGGGAATAGGCTGGAGCCTCAGCTTTCTCACCTCGGGGGTACAGGGAGACACACTGGTTATCTGTACGGAAGTGGGCTGCGTCACCGTCCATCTCCACTTCCTTCATTCCCCAGCGCTGCTCCGGCCACCAGCCCCTAGAAGGGTTGTCCTGTGGTCCAGTGGGATAGAAGCAAAGCAGGGTCTCAATACCCCACACTTATATGCTCCTGACGTAAGTCCTGAGCACCCTTGAAGCTCTTCCCCACTCCCCTCTGACTCTGCAGAAGCCCATCCCAGCAGGTCCCTCCCCCAGGGCCCCCAGCAGACACAGTCTTCTTCCTCTTCCCATTAGCACTGGCCCCTCCTCATCAGTCCCATCATCCCAGCCTCTGCCATATCCAGCATAGTCCCCAGATACACATTTTCTCTTCTCTGGGAGCTGGGACTGGCCACCTAGGAGGGGGGTCTCAGTTTTTCAGAGAAAATATCCTTGTGACTATGACTGACCCTTAATCCTAGCCCTAGACCCTCTTAAGAAAAGGAGGTCAGATAAGAGAGGTGGGCTGGGTCAGTGCTGCGGGTGTTTGCAAGTCAAAGGTGGACATGGGGTGATTTACTGCCCACTCAGGACCTCACAATTGGATTACAGGAAAGGGCCTGAGATAGTATAGACAGCCCTACGTATCTGCAGTTTCCTTGTCCACAGATTCAACCAACTATGAATGGAAAACATCTGGAAGAAAATAAGCGATAAAAGATAACCATGCAGCAATAAAAAAATACAAATTTTAAAACAATACAAAACAACAACTATTTGCATAGCATTCACATTGCATTAGGTATTATAAATAATCTAGAGATGGTTTAAGGGTATACAAGAGGATGTGAGACATTATATGAAAATACGACACCATTTTATATATGGAACTTGAGCATCTGTGAATTTTGGTATCTTCAGGGAGTCCTGGAACCCTGTATAAGAAATATATTTGTTCTTTGTCCTGGCTTCCGGTACAGAAGATACTTGGAGATTCTTGAATAGGAATGTCTTTTGTTATTCGTAGGGAGCCCCTTATGACTTCATGAGTTTATGCTAATGAGGTGACTCAGGATGGACCCCCTGGGTGCTTCCCAGAAAGATCACATTGTGATTAGAGGTTAGGACTTTCAACCACCCATCCCCAACTCCCACTCCTGGGCTTCCAAGTAGGGGAGAGGGACTGAAGATTGGGTTATTAACACTCTTGAAAAAATGAGACCCAAGGAGCTTCCAGGTTGGTGAACATGTCTTTTTCACAGATCTCAGAATCAGCCTTCCATAGGCCACAAGCACTGACTAAAGAGATTGCAGACCAACTGCAATGGTGGAGAAGCCATATGGAATGTACCTTTCCTGAGACCAAGCCAGGAGAGTAGCTTTGGTTCGAAAGGAGTCCGTGTAGCCGCTGTTGACTCAGCAAGCAACTTGCCCTGTGGGCAGAGAATCTGCCGGGGTCAAGGAAGTGGTTGCCCATACCCAGTTCATGATGCTGTGTGTGTGTGTGTGTGTGTGTGTGTGTGTGTATGAGAGAGAGGGAGAGAGAGAGAGAGAGAGAGATAGAAACTATGCAGAGCAGGGGCACCATGTGTAGGGTACAAAGCAACCATCTGTTGGCCCATTACCTTCTGTCTGTTGAAAGCTGACCTGAGAGGATAGAAGGCCATGGTGGGAATGTGAAGGCTCCTATTCTGGACCAGTCGACAGCTCTGCCCGAAACCCCAGTAGAGGCTGCCAACCTCTTCTTTGCCACATGGGATGGGATGGAAGTTGTGGAGTTGCTTCCCCAGAGGCCCATCAGAGACCCAGGGTCAGTGGTTGAAAAGGAAGGGCCTCTCTTGGTTTCTACTTTCCCACATACAGGAAGGGCCCAGGCTGGACCCACTCAGGAGTTATTTCCTCCTATGGCCTGAGAAAGCTGAGAGGACCTCGAAAGCAGAACTTTAGGCATCTCTGCCCAGCTGGAAGGGCAGAGTCTGGGTCAGGAGAAGGGCAGAGTTCTCCAGGCTATGATTAGCAGGACTGATGAAAACAAAAACATCCCCAAGACCTGAAAACAGGAACCCTGAGCAGCTGAGAGCTGACACAATTTTCAGTACCATGCCCAGGGTTTGTCTTGAGACCCTCTTGCGCAGTTCATCCAGTATAGGTAAGGCCGAACCCATACTCAATCCCTAGAACCAGCTTTTGTCTTGATCAATATAAACGAAATCTCAAACAATTTGAGCAATAAAATAAATAAAATAGAATTGGATTATAAACAAAAGTACAAAATAAATATCCATGAATCCACACTGATATAAATGAATATTTGGATAAATAAACAGATCTCCAGTGCAGAAAAATTCCTTATAATTTATGTAGATAGTTCATCCTCAGAAAGGTTTAAGTGTGGGCTGCACATAGTGACTTCCTTCCAAAAAGTACAGTATGGAAAAAGGAGAAAAAGAATAACTTAACAATGAATAAACTTGTCAAACACTACCTCAGTCTGGGGATCAAAGTCAATGTAAGCAGTGATGAATCATAATGATAGTATGTACCTTGATAAGATGTGATGAGAATAGCACTTGATCTTCATAGTCTTCCTCCCCAAACATGTTACCCCAAAACACATTACCCCAGTCTGATCATGAGAAAAATGCCGTATGGATTTCAATTAAAGGAAAGTTTACAAAAGACCTGACCAGTGATCCTCAAAACTGCCAAGGTCATCAAAAACAAGGAAAGTCTGAGAAACTGTCACAGCCTAAGGAGACATAATGACTAAACATAATGTGGGATTCTGAAACAGAAAAAGGAGATCAGAGAAAAATGAAGGAAATCTGAATAAAGTATGGATTTCAATTAATAATAGCATATCAGCATTGGTTCATCAATTGTGACAAATGTGCCATACTAATGTAAGACATTGATAATAGGGGAAGCGGAAAGGGATATATGGGAACTCCCTGTATTATCTTTACAGTTTTTCTGTAAAGTTAAAACTATTCTAAAATAAAGAGTTTTATATATATATATATTCCATATAGTTTATGGAATCTCAGAAGACCAGAGAGTCAAGCTTTGGAGTCTATGCTGGCAGAAAGAATGTTCCAGCAACACTGAGATGCTTCTAGTAAGGTAGCACTGAATTCAGCCTAAACAAACAGCAGGACAAATCAAAGGTTGAATCTGACTGGTGGGTCACATGCCCGCACCTTTCTGCAAAGAAGGCTGCAAATGCTGCTTCTGCTTCTAACTTGAGAAGGTGGAACGCAAAATATAGGAAGTTAACTGAAACAAGAAGCTGCTCAGTGTGAAGGAAGGACTACAAAAGTGTGACACATGTTTTCCCCAGGGACATGGTGCTTTTTCATGTCTGTGATTCTTGTTATTCCTGGAAGCACATAAGCTCTTAAATATAATAAACCGTTTGTCATCCTTCTTCAAACAAACAAAAAATTTAGGATCATGTTATTCATATGCTTAAAATACTTCAGTTACTTCCCTTTGTCCTTCATATAAAATCCAAAACCCTTCATGTGTCTGTGAAGTGACTACCCACTCCCACACCAGCTACACTGCCCCCTGCTTTATCTCACACCAGACTTCAGCTAGACTGGACTTCTCTCAGTGTCTCAAGCAAACTGTATTCTTTCTTTGCATCTTCTGTTCCCTCTCTCTTTCCTCGTCTGTGCCTTATCCCAATCACTGCCTGAATCCTGCTTATCTTTCAAGACTCAACCTACATGTTTCTTCCTCAGAAGCCTTATAAAATTATTTTTCTGCAGGCTCCCGTAAAACAATTAAAATTCCCTTATATAAAACACACCAATTTTATCATTAATTGGGTAACCTGTGTGTTTTCCTCCAGAAGAGAGTCATTCAGTCTGAGACAAAAAAAAAAAAAAAAGCAAGTTGCCTTGGGACAGAGAGTAAGGAAGACTTTTGGAGGTCTAGAGTGAGAACAGAGAGGTAGAAGGAAAAGAGGGTGTGAAATCTAAGAAGGAGGCAATGAAAATCTACGTAGCACCCTGTTGGGGGTGGCCTGAAGCCCTGGCCAGCTGGGGTATGCAAGGAAGCCAATGGCATCCCTTGAGGCCAGGGTCCAACCTCAACCATGACTATGACATCAGGAATGCCAACAATCCCAGAAACCAGGATACTTTGTAAGGAACAGAGAAAGTGCTAAATAGCAAAACAAAACATAACACCATACAACAGTTTATTTTCCAAAGCACTGGGAAAAGAAAGGCAAAGAAAGCATAGCCCATATAATAAGAGAAATAGATCAAAGGAGAAAGAAACAAAGGAAAAAAATAAAGATGAGAGATTAGAGAGAAAGAGATCAAAAAAGCAGAAAAACAGAAAAATAAAATAGTATAGTACATGTCCACAAGAGTTAGAATCAGACAGGCTGTAGAGGTGAGTCAAGCATTTTTTCCCCTCAGCTTTTCTATTCAAATACAAAAGCATAAATTTTTCAAGATTATGTTATTGCAACACTGAGGAAGGACATTCAAGCATTTTTAGCCTGATGAATCAGATATATATATTTGTGCATGTGTGTGTGGGTGTATATATACACCCACACACATATACACACGAGTTGAATGTGGCAAAGTTCTCACCTGTCCTTGGCACTCAACTTTCCACCTGACAGTGAGGAAATTCCCAGAATTTCACAAGAAATACTGTGGGGGCCCATGAGCTGAGAAGCTGCCAAGGTATTAATAATGCCAATGAGACCTACTTGATAGGACTAAAGCACTATTGACGGTAGACCCTCTTGGGAAAGGCCCTACTGCCAGCAGAAGTGCAGGTACTCACGTGGTGACCGCCCTGGAGAAGTGAGCCCTGCATATGGGAGGGAGGGAGCCAAGTTCCCAAAACAAGGCAAAGCAACAGCTGCCCCAGCTTCATGAAGGGAAGAAGCCAAGGCAAGGCTGCGCTCGCTGGTTCAAGATGGGGCACAGGTTCCGGATGGACACACATCCTCACTGACTCAGGATCTTTCAGTTTCAAGCAAAAACAATGGGTGAGGGCAGAAGGGCAAGTCTTGTCTTAGGACCCCTATGCACAAAAATGCAGGAGGATCCAGAGAGCTGGGGAGACACGAGACAGCACCTGGAACCTCAGCAGCCAGAACCCACGGGCCTGCCCTCTGGTGCCCTCCACCTCCATGTCTGAGTGGCCCTTTCTTCTGCACCATTCTCTTTTCTCTACCAGATGCAGTCCTCATGTACTTTATTTTTTCTTCTGCTTCTGCTTATTGCTAGTTTCCCCATAATAGCCCCTCCAGCCTGTCTCTAACTCGGGGCCTTCCAGCTCAACTTCCCTCTGTTAACTGGCCCATCTCCTTGCTATTTCCTAGGTCAGAGTCTTTTCCAGAGAAATAGTCATTGCTTCCCAGCAGGGTCACCCAGAGATCCCTGACCAGCCTCATTCTAATCATCTCATGTTTGTTCCGTTGGTGAGGAGGGATCCCCTGCCCTAAATAACACAAGATGCCAAACACATGACATCTGACCCCGGATAGATGAGACTGACAGCAGTTTACTAATCATAAATTCTCACAGTCCAGGGCAGAAGAACATCACAAGCCATGCAGGGCCACCCAGGTTCACCCTCAGGAGTAGAGTGAGCCCGCAAGGGCTGTGGGAAGCAGACATTGTAGTAACAAAAGGATGAGGTGCTCCCAGTTCCTGTAAGAGGACTGGGTTGTTTGGACAGTTCCCCAGGCTGGCAGGGAAGTGAAACCTATTAGGCTGAAAACTGGGGAGGATGCAGCTGGTCCAGATGACAGGAGAACTAGCAAGGTGGGGAGTCTTTCCTGCTGGGCAGGAGGCATATCTGGTTAGAGCAGGGGAACTCAGGCTTGGGCCTTTGGGGCCCGGTGAGGCTCAAAGACGTCACTTGCAGCACTTGATATTTTAGGCCTTCCAGTATAAGCCTGTACATCAGCTCTGACCCCTTTGCACCCAGAACAACATACTGCTGATCACAGTCATCTGAGGAAGGTGTTCTTTCCCCAGGATCCTGACGAGGACTGCTCTTCTGAGCCCATGCCTGCCCTCACACGACGCTTTCTCTCTGCTCCACTCCTGTCGGTGGTGGCCCTGCCTAGACTCCTTCCTCAGGCCTTGGACTTGGGATTTGGACTCAGTGCCTGTGAAGGGGGCCTCTGGGAAACCTGATTAATCTCCTTTTTGGGAATAGTGCTAAAGAACAGGAAAGTATTCAGGGAACACTAGAGAAGAAAGACCGCCAAAGTAGTGACATTATAGATCCTGCTCTACTTACTTTCCATAAAAACTAGAGATAAGCACTGCTCATATTTCTTCGCATTTTCAGGGTTGGAACTTCCCTACTCCTTGTTATGTTTGGCCCCCTCAACTGTTTCATGAGGACACTCCGGAATTCTGCATTCAGCAAAGCAGACCGCCTTTCCCACACATTGACCTGTACAACCAGGAATGAAAAGGCACACACAGAGGGAGAGCTTGGCCCAGGCAGCATTTTCTTCTAAAGAAACTTTCAGGTGAACTCATGAAGGTACCAAAGGCCACCACCCACGCACAAGGCACAGGAAGAGCGGAAATGCAAGGAAAGAGCAGCGGAAGTGAGAGAGGGAGGCTGGGCGGCAGAGTACACAGAGTGAGGGAGCGAACGGGACAAAAAGGGAGGCCGGGTGCCAGGCCCGCTCTGAGGAGATACCTGTCCATGTCAGTCTCTGACCTGAAATAGGGAAGAAGGGGTTCAGGCTTCAGAGAGCGTGGGTGAAGAGGCTGCTGGGCATATGATAAGAGTCACCAAGAGCAGAGCTATTCCCTCTGCAAACACAGCCACCTGCCAGCCACCATCACTGCTAAGCAGGCCAGCAGGAATTCTGGGGGACCAACCAGGAAAAGCCCTGAGTGACAGTATCAGGAAAATTGCTTGACTGACCTGAGGCAACTGTTAGGTTGAAAAAAACCTAAAACTGAAACTGAGGTTTCTTTGAAGGAATGGAAAACTCCAGGATGTTGCCCCAGATTACAGGTCCTGGTCCTCCTTACCAAGCCATTTGAACTAAATCCTCTCCACCCTCCTGTACCATTTTAAACCAAGCTTTCCTTTCCATTCTGGCTGCCTCTATCAGGTCAGAGAATTCCCAGCCAAGATAAGATGGACTCTAGAATATCGTTGGGACAATTCTGAAGCAAGAAAAATCACAGTGCAAAGTCATCCTGAAGTATGGGTGAAAAAGAGGCATTTCCTCAAGTTTGACGCATGGTGGAGCTCAAACAGTGTGAGCGCGGGGGTCAGTCCCATCATGATTTTGATGGGATGGAGGGCCGCTTGCAGATGAAAAGAAGTATTTTGTCACAGGAGGCATCGTTCCAGGACTGAAGTGAGGATCCCTTTATATTGACACAATTGTCATTGTTCTCAATATTGTTGGGTTCACCTGGCATCCAGAACCTACCTAGTGAAAAGGGGAAAAAAAGATGGATTTACAGAGTTGGAAAACCAAGAAGAATGTGTTTCCAGTGAAGAAATGAGTCAATTCAACCCCAGCTTTGGTCCTGAGAAATGGCATAGCAAGTTTTTGCACCCAAGACTAAGAGGAACAGTGATTGGTGAGACTTCAATCTCTTAGCTTTCACTCATATCCCAGGTCAGGGCCAAACCCACCCACCACTCTCAAGCCCCTAAACAAACCCACACTGCAAAGACCTAGACATAGGACAGAATCCCTGCTGAAGCTGGGTAAAAGGCCATGCTGCCAAACCCCAAGGGGCATGAAGGGCCACACAGATTTGTCTTGGATCCCACAGCCAGTTAGTGGCAGAGGTAAGCTCGTTCTCGATTCCAATGTTCCTGGCGTCACCCTAAGATGGGGAAGAATCGGAAACTCTGTACTCAATGGGAAATATTACCCAACACCCTCCCCCCATACCCTGGCCACAGCAGGAGAAAGTCAGGCTGAAGGGAGGGCTCCGGGGGCTTACCTCGAACTTTGGACCCTGTCGAATGGAGTTTTATCCACCCAGTTCCATTTGCTGTCACTCCCTTCTTTGTACAGGCCAATCCAGTAGATAACTCCTATAAGGAAGACAAGATGAGCAGAGGTGTAGCCATGACTGAGTTTGAGCATCTATCTCTGGATGTTCTTCATCTGTTCTCAGAGACAACCCTGAACTCACAGACATGCTGCACACTGGCCTCTCTCAAGACTCTTCCCACCCTTGTCCAGAGCCCAGAATCCAGAGTCCATCTGCCAAATTCTGCCTTGAAACTACCAAATCCAGGACTCAGACCTTTCTGTCCCTCAGGAAGCAGGTGGTGAAGCCCAGGAAAGACTCAGCTGAACTCCAGAGGAGAGATTCCCCCAAAAATGGCCCAAATGATAATACCCACCCATCATGAGCCTTTAATATGTATAAGGCACTGTGCTAAGTCCTTCACACGCGTTCACTCCTTCCTTCTTGGAGGCAGGTGCTATCACACACGTTTCATCACTGAATAGGTTGAGGCCCACTGAAGTCAAATATTCTATCCAAGGCTCTAAGACTAGTTAGATGACAGGGTTATGTCTTTAGACTTTACTCCAAAGCCTAGGATCTGGCCTGCCTGCTATCCCACCTCTTAGATGAAATATTCTGCCACACCAGGTCATGTGGTATTATGAATGCTATTCATAAACACTTTTGCTTTCTGAGCACATGGAAAGATCGTACCTCCCTCCCTTCTTTGAATCTAGGAGTACTGCCTAATTTACTTTGGCTAGTGAAATGCAAGCAAAAGTGACATGTGTTATTTCTGGGCAGAAGCTTCAAGAACCAATGTGCACTTTGCCGTGTTCCTCCTTCTTGCCTCAGCAATTGTGGGAATATGTTAAGATGGAGTCTTCACCCAAGGCCCTCGAGTAACCACAATGAGCAGAGGGCCCTTGCTAGCCCTTGCCGGACGTGTGACATTCTTCATTAGGTCACGGATTTTGTGGGGTTTTTGTTTCCACAGCATGATTTTCTCATCCTCCTTGATCCAGCTCGCCTTTGCAGAGCCCACAGGAACAGCACCCACCTGCTCACTCTCTGAGGTTACTGAGGTCAGGTGTGAGTTCCTGGACACACAGAACTTTCTGGCGTTATTCCAGGGCTGTGGTATAAGAGAAAAGTAATAGAAGTTCCCCTTGAACTACTTCCAGCCTTGAGAAACCATCCGGAGAATGTCTTCTGGAGAACAAGGGCTAAAGGTCAACACATATGTTCCTGTTTTCTTGGGTTGCTGGCTAGGTATGGGCACTTGAGGGGAATATCAGAGACAAGAGCAAATAGGACTAGACTCTGGGGTCCTTGGGTCCTTGTGTAGGAGCTTGGGGACACTCTTTTATATTCTGAAAGTCTGACTGAGACTGATAGAGCCTCTGGGATTAGAAAGAAGAAAGTATAAGAGGATAGACCAAAGACCTGTCTTTCCATGAGAAAGAAGCAACTCTCCACTGGTCATGGCAAGTGGCTTATCTTCTGGGCTCCAGGCAAGGGACTTGATGAGAAGTGGCTAGTTGCGGGCTGGCACAGGCACTCCCTGATGCTTTCACATTCTGCTCCTTGGTATGGGAGCCTAAGCTGGACCCTGGTCTCTTCTCTCCTAAGAGCCCCTACGTCTGCCCCAGTCCCAGTGCTAAACCCTCTCTCCTTAGCTCTGTAACCCATGCCTGCATCTTTCCTGCCCCTTCTCCTCCTCATCCACCAGCCCAAAGGTCTCATGTCTGAGAAATAGGGGTCTCATGAGCCACTTGTAAATGTTATTTTCAGAGTCACTTACTTTGGATTTTGAGAAACTTGCCAATATTCAGCAAACTGTTCTGGAGACCCAGGACCTTTGTGTTCAAAGAGCTGGCTTGACCCAAAACTCTAATGCTGAGATTAGGGCATTTATTATATCAACTTTCTTCCAATTTCTTGTTAACATTTGGACTCCTGCATTGACCTTTAGCGCACAGATTCTCAACATCAGGATCTGAGAACGCACACGGGCCAGGTTCACATTTACCCTTTGGATCTGAATGCCGGCTGTCTCTATGCCACCGCCGGTTTTTTCTCATTCCAGGGTGCTGATGTTGTCCACATGACCTTGCAGCAGTTGGGCATTGGCCTCTACATGTGCTATTGTGCTCATAAACCTGGGATCTGGGAGGGAAAAAGCCAAGAGGTCAGAGAGGAGAATCCCCAGGGACAGGAGTGGGGGTATTGTCAGGTTGATAAAAGACAGGGAAGGGAAGGGACAGGCTTAAGCTTTCCAATGAACTAAAACAGCCCAAGGAGTTGCCCCCGACATTCTGCCCCCAACACACTAATCATTCATACATATTCCACAAACATGCAGTGGGTACTACCATGTGCCAGGAACTCTGGCGGATGCAGACAACGAGGTTTATCAAACACAAGCTCTCTGTGAGAGGACCTCACAGGCAAGCAGATAAGAGGTTCAAAGCCAGCCTGAATTTTCTCTGAGTGTCCAGAGGGCATTTGGCAAAGGGGTGCCCATCACTCCCCCCAGCACTTGATTTGTTCTGGACCCCATCACTTGATCACCAGCCCTTTGCTTTCAGAGATCCCTGCAGTGGCTGTTTGCTAAGGAAGCATTGCCCTTCCAGCATCTGTACCAGGGCCCCTCTGTGACCACAGGAAGAGTAGACTCCTAAACTGGAAGTGGTTTCTTCTCCAGATAACGTGGAAAGGAAGATTATAAAACCATTTCTCCTTCCCTTGCCCCACCCTTTTCTTTCTTTTTTTGAGTTGGGGGTCTCACTCTGTTGCCCAGACTGGAGTGCAGTGTCACAATCACGACCCACTGCAGCCTCAATCTCTGAGCTCAGGTGGTCCTTCTGCCTCAGCCTCCCAAATAGCTGGGACCACAGGTGTGTGCCACCACATCTGGCTAACTTTTTTTATTTTTGTAGAGACAGTGTTGCCTAGGCTGGTCTTGAACTCTTGAGCTCAAGCAATTCTCCCACTTCGGCCTCCCAAATCTTCCTGGGGTTACAAGCCTAAGCCATCACACTGGCCACCTCACCCACTTTGACATTCTGCTCTGGGTACCAGAGAGGGGACCAAAGATAAACCAAGAGGCTCAAAGGCAAATCTTGTGGAAAAGGCTATGTTAGAAACCAGGCACGTAGGACAGGGCAAGTGGTGGCAGGGTGGGAGAGGCTATGAGTTCAGAGGTTGTAAGTCTGAGACCAAATATGTCCTGAGGCCACAAGGGGAGAAAACAGAAAACAACAACTTCCCTGCTCCGCTTCCTGGTGACCTGGTGGGAGAAAACAGAGCCAGACAGCAGCTGAGGACCTGGCGGGAGAAAACAGAGCCAGACAGCAGCTGAGGCCGTGCAGCCTAAGATCTGGGAAAGGAAGAAAGATCAACCACACAACAACCAATGAGTAGGAAGGCTCCCTGGACCCCATCTTCACAGGCATAGGAGAATGAAGAAAATGCAAAGGGGTCCTGGTGAGGGGATTCAGCCATGGAGACTTGTTGGCTTGTTGCCTGGGGTCTCCACCCAGTCAGAGCGGGCTGACAACACACATGGCTCAGTCCCTGCCGGGGTAGGGAAACTGTCATCACTGTCGGGAAGTATTCACAAGGCTTTGAATCTGAGGGTCCCAGAGCTCAACGTGGTGGGGGTGGAGGAGGGAGAAAATGGCAGAGGATGAAAAACTGGGGACAAAAGAATATGTCCTTGAACAAAAATATGCAAGCACCGATCCTAATCAAAGCAAGTCCCAGAATTGGGAAGGAAAGAGCAGTAGCTCACCTTACTGGGGACAGAACATCCTGTGACTGCATGTGTAAAGAGGGAAAAGGAACCAAATGAGAAAGCCATGGGCAGGAGAGACCACCAAGCAGCAGGGAAGAGAATATCTGGATCCCGAGGGAGCCAGAGGCCATGGACAAGGGAGAAAGGTTGAGCCCAGACAAAGAATTGTGAGGACAGACAAAGAATTGTGAGGACCAGGACCAGTGTCATGCAGATCAATGCAGTGCTGACTGTGAGTGTTTTCTCCAAAATCAGAGACAGACTTCGCTTGGGAGGAGGCTCTGTTGGAAGAAGGAGCAAACGTTTGTTGAAGTAGCAGGGTGGGTTTGGGCTCAGAGCAGCAAGGAGGTTCTGAGCAGTAGTCATTCCTTGCCTGAGGGCCAGAGGGAAATGCTCTGCTCGTCCACAGCGAATTGTGCATTAGGGAACTCCCCCTCTGCAGTCTTCTTCCTGACCTCTCACCCTTTCCCTGGGAGCACAGGTGCTTCTGACCGCATGTCTCTTCAAGGGCCTTTTGTCTAAAGGAACTGGGAAGTGAGTCTCTCGGGACGCCACCATGTCATCCCAACTGTCCCATTCCTGATTGGATAAAGGTCAGATCACTAGAGCTTTCCTGGCTTAGGCCCTTCCTCAAAGGTCTGAGCTTTCAGGAGAAGACCACTTGTCTTCTTCTCTGGGAGTCTGCTACCTAGACATGTTAGCTATCTTGTCCCAAAGCTATCCCATTTCTCTTGTGAGCTTCTCCTCATCCATCATCCATCCTATCTCTTCATGCCACAAATACACACTGGGTGCTTTCTAGGTACCAGACACTGTACTGGGCAGGGGATCACAAGGATGAATAACTCAGTCCTTGCCCTCAAGCAACTCACACTCTGGCAGAAAAGACAGACTTGAGGAGATAAATCACAATACAAGGCGAATACAACATGAGCTGAATATGCGGAATATGCCCATTTCAAAGGAAGCACAAGGAATGGAGGAATGGTAAAAAGCTCTGGGTAGAGGGATGAGCATATTCCAAAGGATGGGTCGTGAGACAGCAGGGAATGCTTTTCAAACTAGAATTAGTTCTGGTGTTATTGGAGTATGAAGTATCCAAGACTGAATTTTTTCCTGGGCGGCTTCTCATGCTTTAAAGACATCTGTCGAACCTGAGAAACCTACATGGCAGACTCTAGACAACTATTTCTTGAAAGATAGGAATGATGGAAGGAAAAAGAGGGAAGAAGAGAGGGAGGAGAGAAAAAAGAAGGCAGTGAGTTCAGATAAGTGGAGAATGGATTGATAGATGAATAAATGAATGGGTAGATGGAAGACTGGTAGATGAATGAATGGATGGAGGATAGATGAATGGATGGATGGCGTGAAAGATGAATAGGTGAATGGCTGGATGGAGGACCGATGAATGAATGAATAAATGTAGGACGGAGGGAGGGAGGGACCAACGGATGGATGGGCGAATAGAGGGATAGATGATACGAGGAATGGAAGATTTGGTGGTTGATCATGACTGCTCTGACATCTACATAGTTTGTGACCTGGGATCTGCCTTCCAGAAATTTCTGCTTCTTTCCTTTGTCTCTAGAAGTTCTTATTCATTTTCATAGCACGGGCATAAGGGGAGTGTGATTTATACTTTACCCAGGAATCAATAAAAGCTCTGGCCACAGGGTTAGGCAGCTAACTTGGCCTCACGGAGACTCAGCCAGTGGAACCGGATGGCGGATGGTATCAGAGATCAGGGCTGAAGGCTAAAAGAGTTGGGCCAGGAAAATAGCTTCTTATACTCATAGGGGCTTCTGCTGCCTTTGGTCTTTCAAAGGATCCTGCCTCCCTGCTCAGCCCACCCTGTCTGGCAGCTCATTTTGCTTTCAGACCCTCACTATTCTCTTTCCAGCTGACCAGGCCTCAGGCTGGAGTCGCTTCTATGACGGGATGAGGAAAACCAGAGGACTCCACACTATACTTCCTAAGATCTGGGAAGGAAGCTGGGTGACTAGGATGATGTCCCATTTATCCTGTCTCATCCGCTCCCTACCCACACTCTGGCTTCCAGGCCTGCTGTCTGCTCTAATGTTCAACATCCACTCATCCCTAAACAGAGGGCCTGGCTGAGAACTTGGATGAATGCATCTGCTCTCTATGCTCACCTGGTTGCGGAGCCTGGGTTTCCGGAGCTTGGAAGAGATTAGCATGCTGTGCTTCTGGACTCCCATACCTCATTCCAGTCTCACTCCAGAGTCATCTCAGCCCTTCTTCTCCTGGCTCCTGGTCCTTCATCCACAACCTACCATAGTGTAGGGCCTGGGGTGGAAAAGAATCCAAATTACTCAAGACTCTGGTAGACGGGGCATTTCAGGGTTCCTGGTCCTCTCCTGGGGCATTTGAGGAAAGAAAACTGCTATACAACACGACTTGGGAGTGTCTGGTTCCTTCCCCATCTGTGAAGAAGAACTTTCCCAAATCTCGTCTGGTTTATGGCATCTGCTGTTAGTGATAGAGCCCCAAGATATCCTCTCAGTTGTCCTTGAGAAGGATCAGGAAGCCTCACCAGGCTGGCACCCATGGTGTAGGAAGGAGTTGGGAATGGGGAGCATTTACTCCATGTGATGAAATGAAGACTTCAAACAATTATTCTGTTGATCACTGGGCACAAGGCTGATCCAGCATGAGGAAGCTGAGCAAGAAGCATGGAATCCTGGCATGTGGACCCACTGGGGTCGCAGAGGAGGTGGGTGTAAAAGTCCCAGGCCTTAAGAAGTTTCATTTCTCACTTCATGGGGAGGGACTCACAGCTATTTTCCCATGACCATGCTCATCTGAAGGTACTTCCTGAGTGTCTCTCTCGTGCAAACCTCCGGGTGCTCTATCTGGCCCCTGACCTGGCAGAAGAAAAGTCAGAGATGCCTCAGCAATGCTTTTCAACCAGGAAAATTAGCAGCATTTCTCCTGGATGCTTATGTGATGCCCTGTCTTCCCAACAGAAGAGAAACTCTGGCCAGATCTAGGGACCAAAAATCACTGCTTAATGAGAGAACAGGAAATCTATGCTCATTTTTTTTCTCTCTCCCTGTACTCTTGGGGTTTTAAGACTTTCTCTGGATAAGGGTAGAGGAAAGAAACAGCTTGGCCACTTTTTCACCTTCTCTGGTTGGGACCAGCCTTACACTTGAAGGTGGACCATGAACTTAATCATTGAAAATGGCAAACAGACTCAGGTTGTTTGCAATGCCCCAGAAATGCTGAGAGTTATCTCCAAGGAGTAGTCATCCGAGTCCCTCAGTGAAGGCATGGATGAAACTAGAGTGAACAACAAGTTGGGGAGAGGGGTCAGGGAAGAAGAAGGGAAAGGGGGAAGAATGACTATGAAATGAGAGGAGATGACTATTACAGCTGGTCACACCTAGCCCATAGGCCTCAGAGACTCCTGCATGTAATGTGAGGGGGGAGTTGACCAGCAGGGCCCTGATAATCACCCTCTGGACGTGCACTCTGGGAACAGAGGTAGGGCAGAGAAACCAAGGAGTAGTAGGTGGGACCATTCGCTCCTCTAGAGTGCCTGCTATGCACCAGGCACTGGGAGACAGCAAGGAAAAAGATAGCCATAGACCCTGCCCTCAGGAACATTTTCCTCTTGCTGAAAAAATAGGGCATCTTTAATTCTGGGGAGAAGGGAAGACTCTCCCGAGACTAAAAAGAACTGAGGGGCACTATGGGGGGTCTTCCCAGGTCTCCCTTGATCCTGCTAATGGTTTCCTCTTTTTATATAACATTATAGGAGGCCAGGTTTCTCTGGAATAATGACAATGGACTAGACCCTACTGACCAGGCTATTACATCCAGTGCCATCATAAACAGTGTGATATGTGTATAAGTGGGCAAGCTAAGCCACATTGAAGAACTGCTATGTACCAGGCAGAAGAGGCTGCTTCTAACTATTTAGGTTACAGAACTATCGCCCATGGCCTTAATGGGAAGGGTAAATTCTTGTCAGGAAAGTAATAAAAGGCTCTTGAGAAAAAAGGTGCGTAGTTTCTTTTATTATTATTATTATTATAAAGATATGGGGTACAATTTAGGGTTAGGTATATAAACTTTTTTTTTTTGAGTTGGAGTCTCACTCTGTTGCCCAGACTGGAGTGCAGTAGCCTCTCCTGGCCACCGCAGCCTCGACCTGCTGGGCTCCGGCCATCCTTCCGCCTCAGCCTTCCAAGTAGCCGGAATTACAGGCATGCGCTACTATGCCTGGCTGATTTTTTTATTTTTATTGTAGAGATGAGGTCTCGCTGCCCAGGCGGGTCTTGAACCCACGGGGTATACAAACATTGTTTATGCAGGTACCCTTGTTGATGAGGTATGGCCCTCCCTCCCCTAGCAGTTTTCCCCAACTTCCAATTCTACCTCCCCTCCCCTGACAGTTTCCCATTACTGCCAAACGCTTTCTTGTAGTATTATAGTTGCTCAAGGTCCGCCTATGAGTGATGTAGTTTCTTTTTAAATACTTTCTTTTTTATTATATAACTAAATGATATTGATTATAGAAAAAAGCCAGGTAAGAAAAAATTATGCATCTTACAGGAGAAAAAATTGTACCCACAGTTCATTCTTCCTAACCACCCATATGAATACGTATATGTCCATATATGTCCATATTCATAGCTATGTTTATACCTGTGCATAATTTGTGTATATGGACAGCTCCTGTAGCTCCTATTTCTGTTCCCTAGCATCCTTCTCTATCTCACCCTCATTTCGTATATCAAGAATTCCCTTCCACTGGGAAACTACTCCCCTTTTAAAACCATGTGATTCAAATGGGGCTGCTAATGGTAGTTCCTCCAAGCATAAGAGTGGCAAGTCACAACAATAGGTCCAGGGTATGAGTAGGAAGGGAGCTTTCCTCGCTCCTTAAATTGAGAATTATATAGATGTGATCTAGGACTGCTGGTAACTGGTCCCTCTGTCACGTGGAAGAGCCTGAGAGAATAAAATCAATACAGAGACAGAAAGTGAAACAAAAGATAAAGAGACAAAAAGAGAGTCCTGATGCCAGTTGAAACTGAGTTCCATTTCCCATAGGCAATGACTTTTTTGGCTTGTGTTTTATGAACACAAACATGAACAAAAAACTTCTGTTTTCATTTTAACTTAATTGGATGCGTCTCTTTCTTGAAAACAGGGGCCTGACCAACATATTATGCAAGTATACCCCCCAAAAAGTATTTACAAAATAATTCTTTTTTACAAAATTTCTTTTACAAAAAGAATTGTACCCTATAGCATATATAGGGTTTTGTTTTGTTTTTTGTTATGGATAACCTTTTAAGTCAAACTTACATCTACATAATAGTTTTAATTTCAGGTTTTACTGTCACTTTTATGTTTTTACATTTTATATTTAATGTATTTGGAATTCATACTATTACACGATTTTAGAAAGGAATCCAACTGTCCATTTCTAAATGGACAGCCTGCTGTCCTGATACCGTTTTTAAAAATAATGCTTAATTTCTTCACTGAATATTAGGTAACATCTTCATCATATATTCAAGTTTCATATATTTAAAGATCTGCTTCTGGATTTTCTATTGTGTTCCATTATTCTTTCTATTGTTATCCCAAAACCACACAGTATTAATTAGCATAGCTTCATAATGTGTTGCAACATCCCTTGGGACACTCTTTCAAAATCTTCAAAATTGTCCTAGCTCATATAAAATATCTATGGAACTTCTAGATATTTACTTCCTCTTCTACCAAAGTAGAGTAACAGGGATTCAATTTACTATCCCACCTAAAACAAACAAACAAGACATATGAAACAAAAATTTTCGAGACGTTGTATATCAGGCCATGAAGCTCAAGGATCCCTGAGAGACAGGAAAAGAACAAGGTGAGCCTATTCTTACCCCAGCTTACTGCCTGTGGGGAGTTTCCAGGCTGTGAGGCAGAGAAGACGACTGCAGGTGGAGGTGGCTGACTCCCTGAGATGTAGAAACAAGGCTGAGAGTTGAAGCACACAAGAGCAGTTAGAGTTTGTGTTAGTCAGTTCCGGCTGCCATAACAAAATACTAGACTGGGTTACTTGAAAAACAGAAGTTTATTTTTCAGTTCTTTAGACGAAAAGTCCAAGATCAAGGTTTGGTTTCTTCTAAGTCCTCTCTACTTGGCTTATAGATGATCACCTTCTCAGTGGGTCCTCACATGGCCTTTCCTCTGTGTGTGTGTATCCCTGGTGACTCGTCTTCTTTTTATAAGGACATCATTCACATTGGATTAAAGCCATACCTTTTGACCTCATTTAACCTTAATTACCTCTTTTAAAGAGGCCCTATCACCAGATACAGTCACATTGGGGGTTGGGGCTTCAACATATGAATTATAGGGGAGCACAAGTCAACCCACAACAGAACTAATAGAACAGAATAGCAAAAAATATATAATCCATAATAAGGATAAAAAAAATGTTAAAAGATCCAAGAACTGATATAGACGTAAGATCTAGCAGGCAAGGACAACAAAATAAGCATTATAACTGTATTCTGTATGTTCCAATAGTTAGTGACATGAAATTTGTTTTAAAAACATAAATTGAACTTCTAGAGATAAAAACCGTAATGCCTGATGTGAAAAATACGCTGGAAGGTATTAATGTCAGATTAGGAATTGCAGAAAAAGAGAGAAATGAGTTTGAAAATAAAGCAATAGAAACTATCCAAAATGAAGTACAGCAAGAGAAAAAAACAGATTATTAGTGACCTCTGAGACAACTTCATACAATTTAATATACATATAGTTAGAGTCCTCAGAGGGGATGAGGAGGGACAGTATTCAAAGGATCAATATTCAAAAGCATGTTGCTCAAAAATCCTCCAGTTTAAGAGCTACTGTTTCATAAAATAACATGGGTAAGTGCATCTTACTAAGTGAAATAAATCAGACCCCAAAAGCTACATGTTATGTGATTCCATTCATATGACATCTGAAAAAGGAAAAGTTATAAGGTCAGAATCTGATTGGTGAATGTTAAGAGTTAGCATAAAGAGAAGTGATTGACTAAAAAGTCGATGCACACGGTAATTTTAAGGGTGATGGCATTGCTCTGTATGGTACTGGGTTGGTGGAGCTATCACTCTATGCATTTTTCAAAACCCACAGAACCGTACATCACAAAGAGTGAAATTTAATATATAAAAAAACTTTTGAAAAATCGACA